GCGGTAGCCTGCGCCTGATAATAAAGAATATCAATGGTCAGAACTTCATTTTGGGCAATTTGAAACATTGCCTTATCACAGTCAGAGGCGGCCATAGCTTTTGCAGCCTTTACCTCTTTGTTCTTCCGGTCAAGCGGCTTGCGAAGGTCGTTCACTCGGAGCAGGGCCTAAGTAAAAAGGGGAACAGGCGTTAGTTTCCAAACAAAAAGAAAACAGGCGTCCTAGAATTCAAATACTCAAAAATATTCTAAGTATACCTCAGCAAGGACCCCTGCAATCCCGTCTAGGTCAAGGGTGCCGACACCCCTGACCGCCTCTCTTTCAGCTGGAGGGACGACCTTGATCATAGACTTGGCCACCTCTACCAAGTCAGGCTCCTGAGGGCCGGCTGCATCAAGCATAAACAAACAGATTAGACCTAGTAAAAAAGGGAGCAAGTCTAAAATTTACAAGGACAACTTCATACTTCTAGGCGGCCCAGCTGGAGTTTTAGAAGAAGTGGCCGGCTGTTTCTCAGCCGCCACATGTTTCCTGGCAGAACCAGGAGAGCTCGCAACAGTCGTCCTCCGGGCCTTGGGGTCCGGCTGTTGGGAAGAAGAAGCTCTTGGAGCGCCCGTCTAAAAAAGAAGAAAAAAGTCAGTATATGCATAAACACAACTCCAAAAAGAGGGTGAAAGGTTCGAAGCCCACCAAGGGTGCCCCCTTGTTGGGGGAGTCGGTTGAAGCTTGTTGCATGATGGAGGCCCGCAACATGGCCGCCGCAGTCTTGGAGGCGGTAATTTTGCTCATAGCGTCCGCTTCAAAAACAAACAGCAAAGTTAATAAAAGTTATAACAAAAATGCATGGAACAGCAGAGTATTCGATAGGCCGACTACCTCTTGAGGACCGACTGTTGAGGCCACAGGCGGCTAAAAAGTACTCGTCGTAGAGCCATTTGAAGCTCGGGACGCAGTGCAGGGGTACTTGCTCTCGTACCCCTGAAGTAGAGTCGACCCTCGACTCTACTTTAAAGAGTCCTTTATCCAGGATCTCTTTCTTAGCTTTGGGGGGAACAGGCGGCATGCTGCGGCCGCCTGCAAGAAGGGGCGGATTCCTGTTCCACCTGTTGAGGCGCTTGTTCAGCTCCGTGTCTGAACTCTCAATAATGAAGAAGGTGCACTGCCAGTCCTTCCATTTGTTTGCTTTACCTCTCGTCATGAGGTAGCCCCTGTGGCTCGTCAATTGATACCAGCCGGTACCGCCTGCCTTAGGGGTCCGGCTGAGGTAGTTCATGTGGGCGAAAGCCTCGAAGCTCGGCTCCACCCCGTGCAGTTCGCACCCGGCCACATAGCCGAGTACGTTGACCCAGGAGTTCGGGGCTAACTGCCATAACCCCAACTCATACCCATCCATGATCCGCTGAACAACCGGATGTAGTGGGAAGCGCAGCCCAGCCTTGATGGCCGCCTCGTAGCAGCCAAAGCAGGCGCTATCATAACTGGTACCAGCCGGCCAGACGACTGTGTCTTCTGGATCCGGCACAAACACTAAAAAGCCGGGGCCCATTGTGTGGTTTGCGATAAAGCTCTCCACTTTCTCTTGCATGGCTGTGATCCGGCCCCGAGGTACCGTGCAGTAGTAGGGGGTATTTTGCTCTCGGTAAGAGGCGGATGGCTCCGCCCAATTGTCCCCCTTCTCAACTGCGTGAGAAAGCCTCGCCTCTTGCAGGCGACTGTTTTTCTCTTCTGTGTCCAGAGAAGCATGGCCAGAAGAGCTAGACTCGGAATCGTCCTCTGACGAGTCCGAAGAGGACGACTCCTCCCCTCTCCCGGAGGGGCCCGCCTCCTCTCCTTTAAAAGGAGCAGGAGAGAATGAAGAATTGTCAACTGTGAAATGGGAAGGGGTCACTTTGATTCCTCCCTCAGAACAGCCGGCTTTCAAGCCGCTTTGTTTCACTTCCACATCTGGCGCCTGGTCAGATGTTTCACTAATCGGCACCCTGCGGGAGGAGCCGTCTGAATTTGAGATCCTGGCAGTCTTTTTTGTTCTGGCCATCATGCTCTGCATAGACACAGATACAGTCGGACTTTGTATAAAGGGCAAAGATGGGTCCGGAAAAGGGCAGGCGACACTCCTAGTCCTAGATTCAGCCGTCTTCGGTGACCGACTGATCACTAACCTAGGTCGTGTCGTGTGCTTCCGTGGTGCCATTTCAAAAAAGAATAAAATAAAGAGACAATTAAGAGTAAGAGAACCGACGGTTACCTGAACGAGTGACGTTGATGGAGTTATGAAAATCTTGTGCAGTCGGCTTGTCAGAGCAGGCGGTAGGCAGAAAGGGTCCAAAATGTCAGAGCAAGTTCAGGGGTCCGAATGTTCTCTTGCAAAGTTCTCAAGTGTGAAAATGACTGAAGTCAACACTCCTTTATATAGGCGAAGTGAGAAGGCGAAGGGTCACTTCCAGAATTCAAAATTTGGGCGGGAGAATCTCTCGGCCTTTTGCCGAGTGACACCTGTAGCAGGCCGTCGCCTGTTACAGTGCGACACCTGTCACAGGTAACACGTGACCAGTCACGTGCCACCTGTGAGGGGCAAATGATTAGGGGATTTTGCTCCCACCAACCGGAATGCGCCACGTGGGCCAATCAGGTCCTGCCAAGTGTCCCCCAGTTGGAACTGTCAAGGCTTGCCACGTGGCACGCGCTTATTCGTCCACCTTGGACCTATTATGTCATGACACGTGGCATACTCTATGCCTAAAGGAGAAACCGGCCACCCAGGCCCAACTTCCGAGGGAAGCCCAATCAGCCCTAGGTTAACCTAAACCTAGGATTGGCACGTTTCCCAAGGTTATAAATACCTCCCGTAATCCTCATTAAGGGGAGATTACAGAGATAACAGGCTGATCACGCTAACAAAGCAAATTACCTACATTAAACACTCTCACCTAGAGAGACCCAATCACTTTAATTTCCGCATTAATTACTCCTTAATCAAGTACTAACTTGACCGTTGGAGGCGGAGCTCCCACCACCAGGAGTCTCCGTTGTTTTGCAGGTACAGGCGTCCGGTTCCAGTCTCGGAATTGTAACTCTCCCGCAGGACATCAGAAAACCCCGAAACAGAAGGTACATTTTAAAATGAGAAATTATTCAAAATTTATAATTTAATAAAAAAGAATGATAATGAAAATTTATAATTTATAATTTTATAATTTATAATTTCTTTTAACTAGCTTGTTAATTTCCAACTCCAACATTACTAACTACTCTGTATAGCAAAGATAAAAGGAAAATTGGCTTAAAATAATACCAACTATCAACGGTGTGTGCAAAATAATAATAATAAATAAAGACAGAATATTCCTCGCAATACTTTTGCATATATAGTACAAAAGGTGGTACCGTTAATAGCAAATAGTTGAGTTCATATTATTTTGCACACACTGTTGATAATTGATATTATTTTAAGCCAATTTGGTGCATAGTTATAGAAGTCCTTAAAACAAAAAGGTCTAAGACATCTATTAACTATTACTAAAACAAAACATGCTGATATCATTAAGGGACCCATGTCAACTTCTCATGAAAAAATTTCCCGTCTAAACTATTTTTGACATCATTTTTTTTTCTCTATTTATTTCCTTCTAAGTTTTAAGACTAAAAAAAAATACAATACTTCTTTCAAAATTAATTAATGAGATTATGATTATACTTTTTTCTAATAATGAATATTGACAATCATTTTAAACAAATAATAGCAATTTAATATGTGCAACGCACGGGACTAAACTGGTAATTAACCTATACTGTGGAGAGTAATATGGTACTAAGTATTATGAGCAAAAAAAAAAAAAAAACAAAACAAAAAAACGGTAATTTGAGTAGAATGTTATAAAAAACCGTAAAACAAAAAGTGAGTATCGGAAAAAGAATGTGAGTATAACATTTAGACACCAACAAAAAAAAAAAAAAAAAAAAAGAAAAAAAGTTTATTAATAAAATGTATTACAGAGTACTGTAATAGATTATGAATTTATGATGCTTTCTCCATTTTTTCCAATATTTTTTTTTATTTATTATTTTTTTTTTTCCGTTTAGCGGTTGTCCTTATTAAAATTCTTGTTTGCTTTATTTCGTTTAAAAGGGAATAAAACTTTTTCTTTTACTTTCTCTTGTTCCATTACACAAGTCCATTTATATAATGGTCGTTCATTTAAGTTTGTCTCAATTTTTATTCATAAAAAAATATAAAGTTTGTCTCAGTCTATTTATTTAACTTTTTTTTGCAAAATTTTTAAGTAAACTATTTATACCTTATGATATTATATTTCCAGTTTGATAATCATATTCCATATATATCCAAATGAAATATTTCTGCATATCTTTTATATACTTTATATGGAGTATTTTGTAATATTATTGTCAAAAATATTTAACAAACGTGCATTGCACGGGATTTTAACCTAGTTTGAGTATAGAATAAACTATAATTATTCAATATATACTCCGTAAGTTGTTTAATTTGTAAGTTGAAAATTAAGTAAAAAGTTGATTTATTTACTATATATATTGAGTCAAACAATTGTTTAGTTATTTTTCCTTTATGTCTTATTGTTTGCACCACTTGATGACCCAAAAAACTCTCACAAAAAGTGAGTTCATGGTAGAAACAAAAAAAGACTGAGAGAGAATATCATTATTCTTTATATACAAGTTATTTTCGTAAGTGAAGAATAGCTCAAATGGTTAGAAATTCACTCCCATTTTTAAGGGATCATGTGATCGATTCTCTTCTATGTGTTTATAACTCTCTAACCACTAAAAGCTCTATTTAATCATTTTAGTACAAGTATTATAATTAGATGATGACAACATGAATAATATAAATAGTTACATTGATTAAAGTGAGGCCGAATCTATATTCCCCTAAACAGCTCCCCACAATATAAAAATAATATTTCCCCTTTTATACAGCATAATCCTTGGGTCCACACCTCTATATATACAAATACGATCTCTTCTCTATCTATCTATAAACGTTACAAATTAACTTTATAAACTCCATTTTTTTTTTGAAAGAGCTAGAATTTTTTTTTTCCACCTAAGAAATAATTTTTGTTAGTAGAAATTTTTTATGTTTTTTATGATCAAGTAGTGTTGATCATTTGTTAGAGATGGATGAAAATATCATTTCGAAGGCGACGGCGAAGAAGAAGAAAGGATCAATATGGAGCATCTTCATGCATGCGGACGGTGTCGATTTAATTTTGATGTTGTTTGGTTTCATCGGAGCCGTTGGTGATGGTTGTACAATACCGTTGACATTGTTTATCACTAGTAAGTTGATGAATAATATTGGAGGGAGTTCCAATTTCAATAGCTCTGATTCTTTTACCAGCCATATTAAACAGGTTTGTTATTTATTTTATTGTTCTATCACTATCGTATTTATTACTACCTTCGTTTTTTTTCATATGTTTGGACAATGAAAATTGATTCACAAAAATATTAAAGTAGAATGAACTTTAAGAAAAAGAGGGAATATCATTTTATGCATGTAGACATGTGTAATATTAGGAGGGTCTTTATTTGAAATAGTTGAGTATTTTATTGTCAAAACACTTTATTTGTGTAAAAAAAAACACTTTTTGATTTTTTCTTTCTTTTTTTTTTTAGTGAGATATTGTTGTCAAACCACTATTTGAACATACTCGTAATTAAATTTGCATGTAAATAAACAACGGAGTGAAATTAACCGGATCCCATCCATCATTTGATAAATTTTTTATTTAGTTTTTTTTAAGGTGGGGTGAAGATTCCGACCACACCTCAACCCTTACGATTTTTTTTGTCCATTTATTTAATAATATAGTCCGTATTTTTTCTTTTTTATGTAAATCAAAACATACCAATAAGTTTGACCATATAAATAGTAAATAGGGTGAATCTTAATCAATAGAGCGTGTAAATCTTTACCCTCTTTCTACAACCCAAAAAAAATGAAAAATTTATTTTCTTAATTTTATATTGGGGTTGTGTAGTGACTAGTGATCACAAAATAATTTAATGGGTGATTGGACTGATTGTGGTGGTACATGAAATATGACTACCAACGGCAGAGAGTTGTAGACTTGTACTCTGAAATTTTATTGATAATAATTTTATTTATTTTTGGTAATAAGTCACTAAATTGAGATGTATTTCCTCAAAGGGTATAATTGTGTCTTTCATTTCATAAAGTCAAAGTATAATTAATTAAGTGTTCTATAAAAAATAATACTTTGTTGCATTAAATATTTTCGGTTGATATCATCATTTTGCCGCTTAAAGTAGCGTAATTCTAAAGAAAATGTCTTAATACGAAGTATGATTGTTATTGTCTTGTATAAATCTAAGACTAAATCCTCTGTTCCATTGTTGTTATATCACGTGTGTTCTACCTCTTTTACTGGTTGATACTACTCTATAGCACAATAATATACAATAATACACGGAGTATTAATTAATTTTATCAAAATTCAAGGCATATAAAGTTTGAGAAAATACAAGTTTATCTCTAATATGAATAGTTTATATGAAATATTTATAGTTTTACTTCTCTTTTTTTTTTTTGTATGATACTCATATTTCGGAAAATGATTTTAATGTGTGTTTTTATCATTAAATTTTTAGTTTTTTTTTTTATTAATGTGAGAAACTCATGTGTTGTTGGTTTAGAAAGGTTATGTTTCAACAATTCCTAACTAAACAGAAAAATGAAGCATCACCTCTTTTTTTAGTTGACAAAGAGAAGTTGCTGTTTTCATTTTTGTTTTCAACTAAAAAGTCGTCAAAACATATAATTTATTTTTTGTTTGATGACAGAATGTAACAGTATTATTGATGATTGGAGCAGGAGCGTGGATACTTTGTTTCCTTGGTGCGTGTACACTTGTATTTCATTTTAATTTACTAGTATGATATGAAATAATGACATGCATCGACTTCTTTTTTTCTTAGGTTTCTCTTAAATCAGCACATTTGTTGACTTTAATAATTGGTTAATTACATAAATTGGCAAGCATAAGATTAATTTCTCTATTGATATAATATAAAATCAATCCTACACTCTAACCATCAACTATGTTAACGAACATTAAAGAATAATAAACCCATATTAGGAGTCTAAACGTCAGCTTAAACTTTTGGTTAAATTGGTCATTTGACATCTACAAAGTCACAAAGTATTCACTGTAATAATCGCGATCCTTCACTTCTTAATTCAGAATTCACCACGGTTTTACAAGACTATGTTTCACGAACAAAGGGATATCTTTTTTGGAACCATTTAGGTTTAATTTGATTTTGAACTCTTTGATAGATTATTGGTTGGCATGCAGAGGGATATTGTTGGACTAGGACAGCAGAAAGGCAAGCTGCAAGAATGAGATATAGATACTTAAAAGCAGTGTTGAGGCAAGATGTGAGCTACTTTGATTTGCATGTTGGAAGTACCTCCGAAGTTATTGTTAGTGTTTCTAGTGATAGCCTTACCATTCAAGACGTAATAAGTGAAAAGGTAAGCCTCCTTCTAGTAATGTTGTACGAGTACATACTTTATATGTCGCATTATTCAAAGAATTTGGCTCTTGCTACCATGTATAGAATAATAATGAGCGGTTCAGCCCGTAAGCTATAGGGAGCTAAGCCCTATCGCATATATTCCTACTAATAATGATCAAAAGGTTACACTTTTAGTACATAGTTGTAAATCGCATAAATTGTCTATTAGTATGGAAAATCTACTTGTCATTTAATATAGTCATTCTAGTATTCTACTTATAGTACTTACCTATAAGAAAAGAAAAATGAAAGGCATGCCATAAATTTCTTGATAATATTGTGCTTGTTGGAATGAAAAACATGTTTTTCCTGATTTTTTGTATTGTGAACATAAATAATTAGGTACCGAATTTTGTGATGAACACGTCCACTTTCTTTGGAAGCTATTTGGTGGCATTCCTATTGCTTTGGAAGCTAGCAATAGCGGGTTTGCCATTCATAGTTCTGCTCATTATACCGGGCTTGCTGTATGGAAGGATATTGATGGGGCTAGCGAGGAAGCTAACACTTGAGTACAACAAGGCAGGAAGTGTAGTAGAGCAAGCAATATCGTCTTTAAGAACAGTCTATGCCTTTGTAGGAGAGAACAAAACAATGGATAAGTTCTCAACTGCTTTGGAAGGGTCAGTGAAGTTAGGGCTCAAGCAAGGTTTGGCTAAGGGTGTCGCGATTGGTAGCAATGGTCTGAGCTTTGCTGTTTGGGCTTTCAGTACTTGGTATGGTAGTAAGCTTGTCATGTATCATGGTGCTAAAGGTGGTACCGTCTTTGCCGTTGGTGCTGCCCTCTCTATTGGAGGACTGTAAGTTCCTTTTCCCTTGATGTTATAGTTGAAATTTTCTATGTACAATCGGTTTTACCTTTGAGCTTGCATGAATTTTGTAAAAATTTATATATATGACTACTTGTTCTGTGTTGGAGAAACAGAGTTAAATTCATGTCATTCTGAAGTTTTTAAATATTCTATATAACTTTAACAACAAAGTTTATGCATATGTAATTAAGTCTTTTTTGACATGTTATTATACTCTTGTCGTAACATATTTACAGGTCTCTTGGTTCTGGTTTATCAAACGTCAAGTACTTTTCAGAAGCTGCTTCAGCTGGAGAGAAAATAATGGAAGTAATTAAGAGGGTACCGGAAATTGATTCAGAAAACATGGAAGGACTTACCTTGGACAATATTTCAGGGGAGGTCGAGTTTAAGCATGTCAACTTCTTTTACCCTTCAAGACCAGATTCAATAATATTCCGCGACTTTTCACTGCAAGTTCCTGCAGGGAAGACAGTCGCGTTAGTTGGGGGAAGTGGTTCGGGCAAATCCACTGTAGTAGCTTTGCTTCAGAGGTTCTATAACCCACTTGACGGGCAGATACTTTTAGACGGGGTGTCTATTGATAAGCTTCAACTTAAGTGGTTAAGATCACAAATGGGGTTAGTTAGCCAGGAACCTGCACTATTCGCGACTACAATTAAGGAGAACATACTTTTTGGCAAGGAAGATGCTACTATGGATGAGGTTATTGAAGCTGCAAAAGCGTCTAATGCTTACAATTTCATTAGCCAATTGCCTCTTGGTTTTGATACTCAGGTATTTGCTGCATTCCTCGAATTTAAGGACAATATACTCTTCTTGAAATTCCGACATTTTAGAAATATCGGGATAATGTTAACATAGATGTATTGATGTCTCGTACTACGTACTAATGTACTATTATAAACTAACATAGCCGTGTTTAAAATTGGCTACAACAAATCACTCATTTTTCATGTACCGTGTCTTACAGGTTGGAGAAAGGGGAGTCCAAATGTCAGGAGGACAAAAGCAGAGGATTGCAATAGCAAGAGCTACAATCAAGAAACCTCGTGTTCTTCTTCTAGATGAAGCAACAAGCGCGTTAGATTCAGAGTCTGAACGAGTTGTCCAAGAAGCCCTTGACAAGGCAGCTGTAGGACGGACTACAATAGTGATTGCTCATAGACTCTCGACAATTCGAAATGCTGATACTATTGCTGTCATTCAGAATGGTCAGGTGATGGAGAGTGGTTCCCATGATGTGTTGATTCAACACGATGATGGGTTGTACACTTCATTAGTCCGCTTACAACAGATGGAAAAGTCTAAAGACGAGAGAGGTCTGGCTCACCCTTCAACATCAAACTCGTCGATTTTGAATAATATGGAATTGAAGTACAACACGAGTAGTCGTAGAAGCTCATTGGTGAGTCGGTCAAGCTCAGCTAGTTCATTTCGGTCAGTTCATGATGATGTTGTACATGAACCCATGGGTGAAGAGAAGGTGCCTCTTCCATCATTTAGAAGATTATTGGCCTTGAACTTACCCGAGTGGAAGCAAGCCAGTTTGGGTTGTACTGGTGCCATGCTCTTTGGCGCGGTCCAACCAGTTTATGCATTCGCTATGGGTTCCACAATATCTGTGTACTTCTTGCCAGATAACGAAGAGATTAAGAGGAAGACTACAATTTACGCGTCATGTTTTCTAGGGCTGGCCGTGTTCTCATTTATAGTGAATATTGTTCAGCATTACAATTTTGCTTACATGGGAGAGTTCTTGACTAAGAGGGTAAGAGAAAGGATGCTGTCCAAGATGCTCACTTTCGAGGTTGGGTGGTTCGATCGAGATGAAAATAGTACTGGTACCATTTGCTCTAGGCTTGCCAAGGATGCCAATGTGGTAAGTTATATCATCTAAGTTTTCATATAGCTCCATCTGACAGTATACCTTGGTAAGCTTTTAGTTTTTAACACTTTATTGTTTTACTTGTTATAGTTGTTTGATAGAAAATGTAGCTCTGTCTAACTGCCTAACAATTTGACAACTTTCACTAGGTACAGTGAATTTTTTACCTTGCCTTTTTTTTTTTTACAACATTTAAAACATTTCGCTTTCTGTTAGTTGACTAACTAGTTAGGCAGATAAGTTCTTTTTCCTAAAGGAAGTCCCTGTTTAGTTTTCAATCTTATCATGACTTGAACTCGAGCATTTACATATTCTAGTTGTGATTCAGTAGGTTGTAAATGTACATAGGGACCAAAATCAAATTCTGGTAATTTGACCTAAACAAGTTTGTTTTCTCTTGGTCTAATAGAAGGTTTTAGGACCACATACTACTCTCAAAATTGCCAAAACTTACAAGTGTTAATATTATATCACCTAGTGCCAAAACATACCCCACTCAAAAATATAAATGTTGCCTTGGAATGGTAAAATATTGCAACTTGCATCAATGCATTTTTTGGATGAACAAACATATTTCACCTGCTCATAATAAACTGTATCTTAACAGAATATAAAATCTAGCAATGTATTTCCTGTTTTATTTTGAAATACATGATTGAGTGAACTATATAGAATTATTTTGAAATTCTAGCAATGTATTTCCTGATTTATCATGTTTATTTTCCTGTATCTTAACAGAAGAAATTCTGTCCTAAACTCGTATTTTTTCAACTCTAGGTGAGGTCGTTGGTTGGAGATCGAATTGCACTTGTAGTCCAAACCATCTCAGCAGTTGTAATTGCATTTACAATGGGCTTAATCATTGCTTGGAGGCTAGCTATAGTTATGATTGCAATCCAACCCTTAATTATAGCCAGTTTCTACACGAGACGGGTTTTACTTAAGAGCATGTCTAAGAAGGCAATCAAGGCACAAAATGAGAGTAGCAAGTTGGCTGCAGAAGCTGTATCAAATCTCCGTACTGTCACGTCTTTCTCATCCCAGGCTCGAATCCTAGCGTTACTCGAAAAGGCTCAGGAAGGCCCTCGAAAGGAAAGTATTCGACAATCATGGTACGCAGGCATTGGACTAGGAACCTCTCAGGGACTTAATATTTGTACTTGGGCCTTGGACTTTTGGTATGGTGGTAGGCTAATTAGTCAAGGATACATCACTGCCAAGGAATTATTTGAGACTTTTATGATACTAGTTAGCACGGGCCGTGTCATTGCTGATGCTGGGAGCATGACTACGGACCTTGCTAAGGGAGCTGATGCTGTCGCGTCTGTTTTTGCTGTCCTGGACCGTAAAACCCAAATTGATCCGGACAATGCCGAAGGGTACATACCTGAGAAAATAAATGGTCACATAGAAGTCATAAATGTGGACTTTTCGTACCCTACTAGGCCCGATGTAGTGATCTTCAAGGGGTTCTCAATCAACATTGAGGCAGGGAAATCGACGGCTCTAGTAGGCCATAGTGGGTCAGGTAAGTCGACAATTATTGGATTGATCGAAAGGTTCTATGATCCTCTCAAGGGTTGTGTGAAAATTGATGGACGTGATATTCGAACATACAATCTTAGGTCCTTAAGAAAGCATATAGCTCTAGTGAGCCAAGAGCCTACATTATTTGCCGGTACCATACGTGAAAATATAATCTATGGAGCCAGTGATAACGTCGATGAATCAGAAATCATCGAGGCAGCAAAGGCAGCCAATGCTCATGATTTCTTGTCCGGACTAAAAGACGGATATGATACGTGGTGTGGGGATAGAGGGGTTCAATTGTCGGGAGGACAAAAGCAAAGAATAGCTATAGCACGAGCTATTCTAAGAAACCCGGCAGTACTACTACTAGATGAGGCAACAAGTGCACTCGACAGCCAGTCTGAAAAGATCGTACAAGATGCACTCGAACGAGTAATGGTTGGTAGGACGAGTGTTGTAGTGGCTCATAGGTTGAGCACCATACAAAATTGTGACTTCATTGCCGTGTTAGATAAAGGCAAAGTTGTAGAGAAAGGTACACATTCCTCTCTTTTGGCCAAGGGACCTAAAGGAGCTTATCATTGTTTGGTAAATCTTCAAAGAACACCACATGATTCAAGTAATGAAAATTAGAAATTATTTTTGTTGCATACCTTGAAAAAAAAGATTGTGACATATATTTATGGAACGTCTTGTATACTAAGAACTTGTATTGAATGAAATGATCTTTTCATATTCAGTTATATGATGAATATCATCTGTCTAAATACATTGCCAAGTTACAATTTATATATAGACTTTGTTACTCTCCATTTCTAAGTAGCTACAATATATGCTTGTCTTTAATTTTTTTATCTGTTTATAATTAATTGTAACCCGTGATTATTAGGTAGGATAGTCCAATTATAATACAGTCAAGGCCAAGCTTAAAGAATCTTTAATGGACTAGCAACCATTATTGGATAAGGTCAAAGCAGTGTCAGAATGTTTGTCCAATTTAATAGATAAAAAAATAGATATTTTCATATTCATATATACTTAATTATATTTGGCTTTGTCCAATATTTATTTTAAAGGATAGTTTATTGGCCTGTCCATTATTGACCATGACCGCATTAGCCCGACCTGCTATTAGCCCTATAAAATATGATCTTCTTTGACCTGTCCTGCACTGACCTTGACCCGCCTCGCCCAATAACCAAATCTTATAATATTTTTTTAGTAAGCTAATAAGAATCCACTTTCCTTTTTTTTTTTTTTTTTTTTTTTTTTTTTTTTTTTTTGGTATTCCTCTTCTACCAATTACCTCAAGTGCACGGTTGCACTACCCACTAACAATTAAATAATACATATAGCTCGACTTTTATAAATTATACGGAATACTCCTTACGTCCCTTAATCTTTGCCCATTGCAAAAATATGGGTCAAATTTTTAACACTTTGACCACGAATTCTATCTATAAGTGATAATATATGCATGTCGGATCTTGTTAGAATTGTCTCATTGTATAGTTTATTAATATCAAATTTTTATAATTTTTACGCGTATAGAAATAAAGATATATACATTTGGAGACGTGTCTTGAATACCGTGAAAAGTCAAATGGGGCAAAAAATAAGGGACAGAAGGAGTATTAAGTATTATACCGTAGATTTTTCAGTTTGATTTATATCTTATAGTTATATCTTTTAGTTTCCCTTGAACCTAATGTAAATCTCACGATTGCAATTAATCAAAAACGAAAGTAATTGTATGTTTCAAGGTTTAATACAATATTATAAATTTATAACGAAAATGATCACATGTTCAATTGCAAATAAAAAGACCCATAGTTTTGGGGTCAATCAAAATATTTGTAATTTATAAATGGCTTCATGTAAATCCAATACCAAGAAGGGCAACAACCCTTCACGTGTACGGTGCCGTTCATGCAATGAATAGTCGAGACGTGTAGCTTCGGCAATCTTTGATTACTTTATTTCTGATTTTTATTAAGTATATCCCTGCAATGCATGGAATATATATTTTATAGAATGATATTTTTTAAAAAAATCTAATAACAAAAATTATATTTCAAATACGGAAAGTTAAATTTTAAATGTTAACCAACTCCTATATGTGGCTGACCACACCGTGCGACCAACTATTATAGAGTTATTTTATTAATTTTATAGGGGTTATCTATTCAGTGTTATAGAGGTAACCCCGTTAGTGTTATAAGAGTTACTTCGTTAGTGTTATTGGAGTTACTTTGTTCTTTTGCAAGCAGCCACATTGATGGCTTGTCGCACAGAAAACGTGTTGTATTAATTTATTTGTTGATGATTATTAAATTAATAATAAAGTAGTCATTGAACGTTTTTTTTTTGAAATATCAGTCAATGTGCATACTCGTGCTAATACACAGATTATTGTATACGCGAAGAAAAACAACACAAAGTGAACGTTGGTAATTATTGAAATTCCTTGAAAAAAATACAAAAAAATACAAAAAAAATAATTCACAAAGTGTTGTATTTCGTTTTTGTTGATGATTATTGAATTAATAATATGATGGTTATTGAACGGTTTTTTGAAATATCATTCGATGTGCATACCCTTGTTAATGCACGGATTATATTATACGCGAAGGAAAACAACACAAAGTGAAATGTTAGTAGTTATTGGAATTCCTTGAAAAAAAATAACAAAAAAACTAAATTATTGGGATGAGTAGAAAACATGATGTATACATTTTTTGTTTCACGAAGTTTCATATGTGGCTGGCCATACCGTGCGGCCAAATTATTTATTTAAGGGTTACTCAATTGGTCAAGGGTTACTCGATCGAGGGTTACTCTGTTAGGGGCGACTCGATCAGGGGTTATTCGGTCAGTCAGGGGATATTCAGTCAATCAAAGGTAACTCGGTCAATCAGGGGTTACTCAGTCAAGAGTTACTTAGTCGGGCATGGGTTACTCGGTCAGAGGTTACTTCGACAGGGGTGGTTAGTGTTTTGTGTGTGTTAGTCGGCCACACGATGTGGTTAACCAGACAGAAAACGTGCTATTTTGATTTTGTTAATTAATGAATTAATAAAAAGGTGGTTATTGGGTGATTTTTAAAAATATAAAAGAAAAACAATTGTTATATTTGTAAAGAAAAAATAGTAGTTTTTTTTTTTTTTTTTTTTTTCTTCTTTTAAGAAGAAGAAGAAGAAGAAAGAAAAAATAGTGGATCTTATGGTGCTTGTATATTTTTTTTTTAAAAAATAATGAAGTACACGTAATTTAAAGATTGATTTTCAAGTGTTGTATGGAAAAGTTAGGAAAAAAATGTGCAATAATATAATAGATTCCTTGTAATTTTGGGGTTTTTAAAACGCAATTTATTGGATGATATATTAAAATAGGTAATTTGTGTATGTGTGTGTGTTTTTTTTGTAATATTAAATAAAATGGATAGTATGTGTGTTAGTAGGAAAAATAATAAAAATAGTAGAAGTGAAAGTTATTTGGAGGGTTTTTTATTAAAAAAAAAAAGAAAAAGAAAAAAAAAAAAGAGGTGGAAGTTATTTGGAGGATAGTGCCAAAAAAAAAAAAAAAAAAAAAAAGAGGAGTGCATGAGAGTTGAGGATTGAGGTTTTGGAGAAACCTCATTATCAATTATATTATAGATTACTCGGTATTAGTTAAAATTAGTAGGTGGCCTGTAAAAATATTATTTCTTTGAATGTCATAGTAAATTTTTATGAATTTGAAAATAATTAAAATAATTAATTAAAAAAGCTATTGAAGACTAACTAGTGATAATTGGTATAAATCTTGATAAGAGTCTGGGATCAAATCGAATTAATGTAAAAAAGATTATATGTAAACAAACACCTTTCGATTTTAAGTTAAATTCAACATAAATTGAGCTGAGTTTGAAGATATTATTGAAAAATAGCTAACACAATAACTTCAAACTCAAAAATGGTTGGTCTTAAGTTCAGACTCGATCGGTGATAATAACATTAACCATCATGCTTATTGTCATTTTAAAAAAAACAACGGAAATGTATGTGATGACCTATTTTTAGTGTGTTGGAGTCTCGGAGAGATGTCACGTATGTAACACACATACACATACAAATTAATTTTTAATAAAACTCATACACCTTTTGTTTTATAATAATTATTGTTTGGGTCAGATTCACTTTAATGGGGCCAGTCCACAAATGATTCAATAACAAGCCCAAAGGAGGTTCAACTCTCCCAAGCATGCCAAGTCAGTCAAAACAAGCTAAGTCAACATGACAAGCCCACTTGGCTTCAAGGCTCATTAATCTATTTGAGTAAGGTATAAAAGCTTTCACTTTTTATGCGGGAGCAATAGTCCAATACGAGTTTTCTTGGAAATTCATGGAATTTTAGAAAGCCTACACTATCTTTTAGTTATTATTAATCATTAGGATTTTTGCCTATGGGTTTTTTACCTTTTACTTGAAAGGATTTTTCCTATTTTTAGACTTTAAGAGTTTTAGTAATTAGGATATTTATTTGTTTAATTTATTTATGTTAGGATAGATTTAGTAGCTGGTTACAAATATGATTAGGAGATTTATTAGGATTAAGATTCTTAATATATATCTTATTTTAGGATATGATTATTAGTTTCCTATCTTATCTTTGTATGATTTTTCACCCTATAAATATGGGTGCATATCAATAGTGATTTTAATGAATAATGATGAGAGATTTGTTTTGGGAATTAACCCTTTGAGCGTTGCTCGTTTGATTGTTAATAAAAAACATCACTTGTTGCGACTCGTGATCATCTTCTAGTTGCGACTAGGAAGAGACCATCTATTCTTGTGAGAATTAGAGTACTATCCTATTAATTTTTGTGTAATTCTTTAGTTGTTGCTAAAATTCGAAGATCTAATATTATTATAGCTTACGAGCCTTGTGAGAGTCTTGAGAGATCCACATCAACTTCCCTCTCTCATAATTCATTCACATTAAGCCTCAAGCAATTAATTCTCTTGCATAACTTTCTCTCTCTAGAAAACACTATACTGACTTTTGCATTGGAGCGGCCTTCGTCGGCACAACCCCCGAGGCCAGTTTACGTGTGTTTTCTGTGTAGGAAATCCTCGTCCCAATTATCACTTGGGTCGAGTCTAGTCTTCAGCCCACAGGAAAGGTTTAGACAAAGGGTCCATTGTTTTGCCCAAAATAATTTGGCGCCGTCTTTGGGGAAGACATTCAAAAGTAAGCCAAAAATTAATCATCTAAGCAACATGACTAAGAGCGCTAAGAAAAACAATCCTTCTTTCTCGAAGAAGGGTCCACCTTCTTCATCTTTGTCTTCGGAGGCTGCCTCATCTGAGAAAGCCACGCCGGAGAGATCACCTCACAACTCTGGTTAGTCGTCCAACTCTTGGCGGCCGAGCCAGTCAAATGCTAAGAGTCCAACTCCTAGCTGTCAGTCCCAATCTCATCCAAGGGGGACGCCCCAAACGGGTCCTACTACGGAGGAGATGGCAAGAGCCCTTGCAGTCTTCATGGACTTCATGTAGGCTCAGCCGCTCAGGTGACCCAGCAGCTCCTACCTCCTGCTCCCTCGGTGCACACTGACACCATTGAGCAGCCGAGAATATTTAGAACGAGGACCGACCAAGGAGAGGGATAATGAGTTCCATCCCATAGGGAACTCGAAGAAAATTGGGAGGGAAGCACATGGAGAATTGAACGGGAAAGAAAAAGAAACCCTCAATTCTTCGAGGAGCCCTAACCCCGAAGTTTCAAAAGCAGCAACACCGCTTCC